AATTTTGTGCTTGGGTCGTGACTTTATATTTTCGTGAAAACTTAAACGTATCAATCTTCCTCTGTAACTTACGTCAAAACAATCTGTCTCCTTCTTTGTGGGGGTAGGGATAAACATTTTTTGATTCCAATGTCAATCCTATTTTTGAAACCTTCCATCCAGGAAATTGAGGGAAAACCCCCCATAAAATTTAAGATAGCTTCCTAATGAATAAGTAGGCATAACCTGGTAGTTGTTTAATTTACTCTTTATGATTAAGACAGTTCTTATAATTTGGTTAATTCATTATATTGATTTTGACAATCGATAGGGGGCAGCATTTGTTAAACTCTCGATCTTATTATCCCCACACAGGTAGTCATGAGATCAAAGGTGATTACCGAAATAAGGTATCTTATACATAGGGATGATCTTCTTAGATATGTGCTTTATTAAATCAATTCAGGGTCATAGATAGTTATGATTGGTGTATTGAGTCATTGCCTTGTAAATCGGTCTCTGGATATGATCAGCTGTTTAAGTTAGCTTGTTTACATTTGGAGACGGGGATGGATATTCAAACAAAAAAATTGATTTGTATCTGAAAAAAAAACTATTTACAATGAAAAATAGATCAGTGATAGCTTTCCCAAAGTCCAGCGTGTTTAATTCTTCAAAAATGTCCTTTCTTGCAACTATATCTATCTAACCTGAGCAGAGAGCTCATATGGCCAATTTTCAATCAAAGATTGTCTTTTTGTCTGTGAACTTTACTTTTCAGCTTCTTCTCACGAGCAACGGAACAATCTTCCACAAAGCATTCATGGATGATGGGGATCTATGCAAATTCAAATAAAGTAACCATTCCGTCTTCCAAGAGGAGAATGGGAGGTAAAAACTTGAATAAAAAGCAATGTTCTGCATAAAATTGTAACGATTTGTTTAGTCAAACAAAAAATAAGTTGTACAGTGCTTATAGATTAAAATAATGGGCTCAGAAAAGAGTCGGACCTCAGTAGGAAATCATTTTGACTGCGTGTAGAAAGGAAAAATCTTTTAAACTGTTTATGAAACATTGCACTGTTGTGGTGGACCAAAAAGGACCTTGTACTTTCTACACACAAGTACTCTAAAGTTGATATTAAAGGACACTGGAGTTCCTCATTGACAATATTTATGTAGTCTTCGGAGACCAGGTCTTCCAACAAACTTTGGAATTCCGATGGATACTAATTGTACTCCTCTACTAGCCGACTTGTTTTTATCTTCCTATAAAGCAGAATTTTAAATCTTCTACAAGAGAAGAAAAAAAAGCGCTTGCTGCATGTGGCCTTCAACTCGACATTTAGATACATCGCCGATGCGTAATCAATTTATTTATTAATTACTTCCATTCATATGCCGACTCGATATATCCAAGTGAACATGAAATAAAAGACATCAGAGAGTCCGCCACTTCTGTTTCAGAACTTTCCTTATCTATGTAGTAATATCCCTCTGTCACCTCTATATGGTTTTTTTACATCTCCCAACTAATTCGATACTAGTACTCAAGGGCATGCTCCGAGTACGATCAAGTTTTAAACCGAAGCAGGCTTCTGACAGATAAATTGATGTTACAGAGATTTCAACAATCTCTTTTAAAGTCAGAATTTTCTAAATTCTATGGTCGTTGTAATGTTGTTGGCAAATATTTCCTATCATTGGGTCGTTTTTTGTTTGTTTGTTTGTTTTTGTTTTGTTTTGTTTTTTGTTTTTTTTTTTTTGGCTGACGTGTTACATACCAATTGTTAAGCCTTTGTTTTTATGTTTTTGAATGTTCCGTCTACCTGACCAGTCAACAGAGGATGTTTACTCCTCCTAGGCATCTAATCCCACCTGTGGAATTTCCAGGGGTCCGTGCTTTATGCCCTGTTCACATATCTGTTCTGTTAAAAGATTATTTGAGACCGATCACTGTTAGCTATCTTCACCTTCTTCACTTCAAATCCGGAGAATAAACAACAATAAAAGTATTACATAGGCCTTACTGAATAGAACAACAAGCCGCAAATATACAAGCAATCCTTCGCATTTAATGTATACTAAGGCCAGTAAGGGTTGTTCCGTCCCTCTGGTTCTGAAATCAGCAACTAAGTAACTGAAAATTCTCACAAAAATGTCACTGAATTCACAATGTAATGTGTATGTACCCGTGCAATTTTCTCCACAGTTCGTCGTATTACTTAATAATATTATGATGAGAAAATTATTAAATCCCAAAAATATTTAAGGAAATGTGAATAAAAACATCAATTATGTATTTTCTTGTTGGAAATTAATACACCAATATATATCAGAACTTAAAAAAAAAACATGCATTTTTTTGACACTTATACAGTATTTATTTCTTCTATTAACTTCAATTCTTATATAATATTTTGTGTAAACAGCATGTGATATCAGTTCTCGGATCATTCCAAAGTTATCTTCATCTAATAACGCATTTGTATTGAAGGAAGTTTAAATGAAAATACACATTTTTCGTCCTTTTATAAGGAGTACATATGCTACATTGAATTTTGGCATTCAGAGAATTTAAAATTATATCAACTATTTACTAGACTTTTTCAGAGACTAAAAACAACACTGCACGTTGGAACATAATTAATAAGAAGCATAGACTGAAAAATTGTGGCTTCCTATGTTTATTTTTATAACAGTATTCTCTTAACGTAAGCAGTTAGTGTCTATGGTATACTTTTCATTTTACATGTATTGTTGGATCTGAACATGTCTTATATTAAGTAATAAAAAATACATATTCTCAGTAAGATACGTGTATAATCTAATGGGCTGCACTATAAAGAAAGTCCCATTCTGTAACTGCTAAATGATTAATCCTAATATAATTTACTCTAATGTAATCTCTACTAAAGCTTTGCCGATTCTGACGAATTAGTGCGTTCCTATCGGACTGTTATTGGTTGCAATAATCAAACCCACTCTTCCACTTCATCACGATAACTTTGAAGTCAGAAATTATAAATCAATTCGAAAAACAAATGAAACTTCTGATAAACGACTTTTGATAACGCAGTAGTCCTAACTGATCTCTTTCATCGCATAATAAACGGAAGAGATACAGTGTATGTTTTGTGTTTTTTTTTTTAAATTTCCGTGACAAATTGTGGAAAGACTATTTCTTGAGATAAACAAAATTATCATTTTCAACTACGGATTATTTATTGTCTTGGATTTCCTCTTGTGGTGTACGTAATTTAATGCCAATTTTTATGCATTTTTCATGAGAAAAGTGTTTTTCTCATCTATATATCATGTATACGAACTTAGTTTGCAGAATATGTTTTTTTTTAATCTTGAACACGTAATGTAAAAATGTCGTGGCTTACTTTCACATCTTGTATAATGTTTAGTAGCCATTCTGTAGGATGCGTCATTACACCCACACGTTCGAGTGTTAAACACTGGACATCGATACACAAGAGTTTACGTTACTAACACTGTCAGATTTACAAAGTACAGGAAACTCTAAAATGCACTCATCTTCATAAAGTTAAAAACTGTCCAAAAAGTAGGGGAGGGGGCAATTTTCCAAAAGCTAAATAATGTGTCCAAAACCTCGAATTTGCCACTGCAAGCTCGACCTTACAGCGACAAAGTGTGTGGGAGGGGGGTGGCAGCATCTAAATGAAGATTACTACAGCAGAATACTGCCTGATATGGTTATATATGTTATATGATATGGTTATATATGTTATATGATATGGTTATATATGCGATAAAAAGCCATAGATTTTGGTAGGAAACGAAATCATCATTAATGAAATAAAGAGGCCTGTTGGCATCAAATATGATCTGAATCACTTTTTTCTAACTAAAAAAAAAAACATTAAAGCTGTGCTAGCACCCTTATTTATGTAGGCTAAAGACAAAAGCTCAACGGAGGCGGGTGGTTGGACAGACGTCATATTGGCAGAGGGAAAATTGTATATTATAACGAGATTGTCTGCTAGATTCCCAGGATCGAGTAAATTTTTTTCAAATGTACATGTATTTATAGTACATATATAGAGACTAATGCTAATATCAGTTCGTCGATATTTGATTTCGTGATTTAAGAAGTATTTAAATGTAGTTGGCTTATATTGAAAATTTAAATTCTGTGGATCTCTTCATACCATGAAAACAAGGAAAATTGAACCCCCTCTAAATTAAATATTCCACGCTACATGTAAATCGAACCCCCTCTAAATTAAATATTTCACGCCACATGTATTTACTAAAGCACATATATCAGACAAAATGAATTTTCCATTTTTATTTCATCAGTACATGCAATAAAAACAAAAATGTCTCTTATAAACATAAAGGCCACCATTGTACATATGAATTTTGACAAGCTATTCACATTATAATTATTACCATTATCATTTTAATAATACATGTACGTGCATTCAAACATGAATTCATTAAGTCTTCCTTTCTTTTACATATCTTTAGAAATTTTTTTTGTCTTTAAATGACCTGAAATTTTTTATTGATAAGAAGAAAAATGTAAATACATGAACATATTCTTCCAGTACTTGTTTAAAATGATGACATTGTACACTTATATGAGAGCTGATGTGTAAAATACAATGAGACATACTTTATATCTCCCCAAAACAAAACGTGTGATTGTGACTGTATGTTATTTTAAATGATCTCATTAGAGAAAGACTATCATAAATGACTTATTATTTTCAAATGCTAAAAGTAATTTTCATGTCCTGATATAGCTATAGGTTATCAAAGATATGAACCAGATACCAGGAATGTTGATCAGATTAGGGTAAGATAAAATGATTACCCCCTCACATCCAGTTTTAAAGTACATGTACATATATACAATATCTATTAACAGCTTTTTTTCCCCTTCTTACTCTTTAGTTTTTGAGTATTTACACTGTGTATATAGCCCCTCTGCATCCAAAGAAATACTAAAACAAAAGAAAATATTTGAACATTTTTATCCCTGCACCCCCCCCCCCAAATTATTAATACCTTATTCAATCAAAGATTTATAAGCAAATACTGGTGGTGCTACATTTGATAAAACAAATACATGTAATCAATATCCAATTGCATTACTCAACCCTCTGGTTTGTAAGGAAAATTCTTTGATTGATATATGAAGATCAGAAAAAGTAGTTTACAAAAAATCAATGAAGTTTTAAACAGAGAAAAAGTAGAAAATAAAAACTACCAGCATTGTAAAAGCAATGAATTTAAAACAATTACAATCATCAAACAGGTATTCTATCATACATATTTTCCACAATTTAATGACAATATAACAGAGGTGGAATGGGATGATTCCTATATACCCAACAACTGAGAAAGAAGAACTGCATGGTATTTACTTCTACAATAATCCCAATTTTCTGACATTTCATATTCCTAATCAACATTTTCTTTAATTGCTGATATTTTTAGCACCAAACAATACAATGTTACATTGCATATCCTGTTTTTACAGGGCTCCATGCTATGTTCATCCAATTTCTATATTTTTGGTAATATTGATGTTTCCTTGATAAAATGCTCTTGGCTTTTTTTATGTCACAAATATTAAATGTGTATAATTTATTAATTAAACTGTTAATTGTCATCAGTAAATGAGACTGTCAGCATTTGCTGACCTTGGTTTCTTGATTTTGTCGATATTCTTCAACACCAGGTCATGGAGGCTTGCCTGAAATAACAAATACAATCTGAGGTCTTAAACATGGAATATTTACAGCAACTTTTTTTTTAACAAAATTTTGTCCATGATAACTGTACATGTAAAATAAATGTTTATCCTCTGTCCTACAGAGACAAAGGATCCTGCAGCATTTACTAGGAACTTCTATAATTAATATTTATAATAAAGAAAGACGTATCTTAGTATATTCTACTTGTGTTCTAAGTCTAATTGAAATCAGACCAAAACTGTAGGAAGAGTAATGTTTCACAAGAATTTCACAGAAATTTCTATTTTTAGTAACCATGGCAATGCCGTTTGTCACAATAAAAAACCTGATATACAGAATTATGTTTCCTAGGATAGTTTACATGTGTACCAAGCCTTATTTTAATCAGACAAAAACTTAAAAGGAGTAGCATTTTGAAAGAATTCCACAGAAATTTCTGTTTTCTATATATAATTATATATATATATATATATATATATAGTAACGAAAGGAAACTAGGATTAGTGAAATAAACAAGAGGCCAACGAGCCTTAACAGTCACCTGAATATCATGAGTTTTTTAAGCTATGATCACTTTAGCCCCCAGGACACAGGCACTTGTTTTGTATATGGGCTCACCCCCTTCTTCTTCTTTCCACAAGATACCTAACTCAATTTCAGGCACCCCCGCTTCAAGCTTGTATTTTGTTTATATATCAATCATTCACCTACTTTATAATGACATCGTTTGCTTCGACAGACTTTTTTCTTGTCAATTAAATCATTTCAGACATCTCTGGTCGAGCCTCTTTATTGTAAACCACTCATTTATTCCTCTAAAATTACCACCTTACATAATAAGACTTTAGATGGGATACAAACTTCCAGTTAGGGTTATGAACGTAGGATAAAACCAGACTTTCAAGTATTCCATTCCGAAAAGTTCACTTTTCACATTCATCAGATTTTCTTAATATCAGCATGATTTTATTATCTGGGCCCATACATTATTGTCCACATCTAAGGAAACTTACGTAGTGGTTCCTGACTTCACAACAGATGAGGCGTAGACTGACGTATTCTTTTTCATCTAATTCCCTCACTGCTTGTCTGTAGTCATCCTTTGATTTAATACAATCATTATAAGTAGGTACGAAGACGTAAAGGTAAAAAAAAAAAATAATTAAGGGGGCTGACTGGGGTTTCGATCCATTCAGGCAGTGTATTTTAAAAAAGCATTTTTAGGCTTTTAAAGCAATAATTTTTAACAGCTAGGGTTTATAAAATTTAAAAAAATTAAGAAAGCAGAGATAAAAAAAATTTTATTTACATTTTTATAAAAATGTTTTTTTGACCATTTTGTAACTACTAAGTAGATCGACATTGATTTTGTGCATTTGTGACATTACGATAAATTGCATGAAGTTATTAAAAGAGGTTTCACAAAAATTGCTATATAAAAGAAAAAGTATAAAATATATGTTCTTGAAATTTTAACAGGAATTTAAAAATCTCAAAAGTTATTTTTGGTTATCATCTGTAAAAATTCTTAAGAATGTTAAGTGTCTGTCATATTTTGTAGACTTTTAATGACATGACTTACAATGTGTATGTATTTGGCCACCTTAGATATGAGTATGGCCCGTTAGATGAAATGACTATGTGTGGGTACCAGGCCACCATGGAAATGAACTTGGCTTGTGAGATTAAGTGGCATGACTTACAATGTGTGGGTATTTGGCCACCTTAGAGATGAGTTTGGCCCGTGAGATAAAGTATCTGGACACCTGGTCCAGGTAAGAAGCTGCCTCAGTCTCTACCTGTCTGGCCTCTCCCATTGTTTCCTCCTAAAATAAACAAAAACAAAAACAAAACTAGGTCAAAGTTTGTAATTTTCATACAGCATATAAAAATTTGACAATTCTAGTCTTTCTTTTCTTTATTAGCTAATAAATAGTTCCTGTCCCAAATAGCATCATGCATATGCCAGACTTGTCGAAATCTGTCGGTCCTGTCAGCAAGGCCGGTAAAAATTTGTCTGGACTGATAACTTTTAAGAAAATGTCGGTCCAAATGACCATTTGAAAAAATCCCGCGTGGCTCAAATCAGGATCGGAATGCGGAACTGGAGGTCACAAACACAAAAGAGATGGCTGTGTGTGCGGCATGGTGACGATGGTCAATTTAAATTGTTACAGGAAAGACATAAAATATGTTATTTATGTCTCTTATTAAAGACTCTCTCTCCTAAGAAAAGAAACTTGTGAGATTGAAGGCTGTTGAAAATAATAAAGTGCATTTTGGGGCAATTATTTATTTTCCTTTCTCAGCGTCAAAATAAGGTACATGTATCTGGTCTGACAAAACTTCCTCCAGTCCAACAGAACACTTTGTCAGATCAAATGTCTGACAGTGATTTCAAAATTTCGACAAGTCCGATATGCCTAATAACTGTAATTCGCAATGCCTAATCCTTCAATCAATTTCAGACTGGATAACAATCAGTAGATCATGTAAATAATTTCAATTTTCTGTTAACTGATCTCAGGATTATTTCTGCATATTTACCTGAACTGACACACCAAAATTATTTCCATCTTCTATTTTTGGAATCAGAAATGCAATCCACATCTTCAGCTGTATGGAATATGATTAATATTTAGAAAGATGCAAAAAAAATTGTAAATTCGTTAAAAACTAAACATTACCGGTAAGTCCCTGAAATGTTCTCGTTTCCTCTTGAATAACGAGTGAACAGTAAAAGCCAAGGCTGAATGAATCCAGAGAGAACGATGAGTGAACAGTGTGTGAACACTGAACACAACTTGGTGAACCAGAGGTGAATCCGGAGAGAACAGTGAGTGAACAGTGTGTGAACACTGAACACAACTTGGTGAACCAGAGGTGAATCCAGAGAGAACAGTGAGTGAACAGTGTGTGAACACTGAACACAACTTGGTGAACCAGAGGTGAATCTAGAATTTGTGAGAGTGGGACAACTCCCCCAGAACTTTTAACAACAGTGGGGGAGTTGCCTTATCTGGGTTTGTTTCAGCAAAAATCCATAATTAATTGTACAATGTAGTACATGTATCTTTAATTTTACTCTAGGTGATATTTTGAATGTTTAAGAATGCAAATTTTTACTGTGTTGATTCATTTTCCCTACTAAATATTCTATTATAAAGATGCCAAATTGGCCTACCAAAACAATCTGTGATTTATACACACAACGGTCTTTCTTTGTAAACATAATGTTTAAAACATTCCTTAATCATTTTTGAAGAGAGATGGCTACCCTTTTTAACCAACTTTCCTGCAACAAATGTTTGAACACCTGTTTTCAGTTTTCATTCTTTTTTTTCATTAAATTCTTTCGGTTTTCTCCCGATTTTTTCTCAATCTGTCAGTTCTGTAATGTCTTTCTTTGACAATGTGATCAGTGTTATTATAAAAATTCCAATGCAGGACAATTCCCAACAATTCTCAAAGGGACTTAAAGAATCTTCATCTGTCTAGTTAAAGGAAAGTATACTAGAAATCTCAGACAGCTGTATCATTAACCATTTATAAAGATTTTAAAACTATTTGGAAAGAGTATATAAACAATATTAAATTGAACCAAATCATATCTAACTAGAAATATGTCCATAGGACATGAATTCCCCGCCGAGGGTATATTAGTAATGCAACATTTTAACACAAATTGAGAAAAGTGAGGTCAAAGTCAAAGGAAAGGTCAAGGTCAAAAATTGTTGATGCAGTTGAAAAGGTTACATCAGTATGTATTAGCATATGAAGTTTGATAAAAATATTATGAATTGTTTCTTTAAAACTGAGCTAAACACTAATTTAAGAAAAGTGAAGTCAAGGTCAAAGGAAAGGTCAAGGTCCAAAAAATATTGATGCAGTTGAATAGCTCTCATCAGTATGTATCAACATATGAAGTTTCACACTAATTTAAGAAAAGTGAGGTCAAGGTCAAAGGAAAGGTCAAGCTCAAAAAATGTTGATGCAGTTGAATAGCTCTCATCAGTATGTATCAGCATATGAAGTTTGATAACACTATCTTGAATAGTATCTTTAAAACTGAGCTAAAAACTTATGTAAGAAAAGTGAGGTCAAAGGAAAGGTCAAGGTAAAAAATGTTGATGCAGCTGAATAGCTCTCATCAGCATATGAAGTTTGTTAAAAATATCTTGAATGGTTTCATTAAAACTGAGCTAAACACTCATTTAAGAAAAGTGAGGTCAAGGTCAAAAGAAAGGTCAAGGTCAAAAAATGTTGATGCAGTTGAATAGCTTACATCAGTATGTATCAACATATGAAGTTTGATTACACCATCTTGAATGGTATCTTTAAAACTGAGCTAAACACTAATTTAAGAAAAGTGAGGTCAAGGTCAAAGGAAAGGTCAAGGTCAAAAAATGTTAATGCAGTTGCATAGCTCTCATCAATATCTATTAGCATATGAAGTTTGATAAAAATATCTTGGATAGTTTCTTTGAAACTGTGCTTTGAACAGAGCTAAAGTGTGACGGAAGGACAGACGGAAGGACAGAAGGACGGAAGACAGACATGACAAACACTATATGCCCCGGCCATATTCATGGCGGGGCATGAAAATTATAAAAATGCCAAACCCAATGTTATGGTTACGAATTTAACCCATATGGGCATAAAAGAACTGAAGAAACAACATCTGACATATTGGAATTACATTCATCAGTATGAAATTATCCAAAACCACACCTTTAATTCACATACAAGAAATATCCGTGAAATTAGCAACCTTTTTTTCCTCACTGCCAACATAGTTGCCAACTAACCCAATTTCTTCAGGTTACACCAGATTTTTCAACCCGTAACCCGATTATTTTTTATGACCCGGCAGGTCATGCTTTTCACACATTTTTTTCACAAAAACCCGAAAATCTCCAAATTTAAAATGTTTCCTCAGTTGGTATAAACACCGATTACATTGAGCTCAGGGTGTACATATGTTGAACAAATGGTGAATGAATGGTGAATGAATGAGAAAATGGGGAAGTAGAATATTTCAAGGACTGTACAAAATGACTGTTTATCTTAATTTATCATCATATCATTAGTAAATCATCTTATATCAGAGTCTATAAAACACAAAAAGAGGCCCAAAGGCCTTAACAGGCATCTGAGTAAAAACAAAGCCTTATAAAGGATCTATTGAATTGCAATTTATAAAATATTAATAGCAAAATAAACTGATAAAGGAAGCTCTTGATCAACAAGAAGTCTGTGAGCCAATGCTCACTAATAATACCCTCGCTCTGATGTGAATACACGAGTTCATTTATGGACAGACACAGGGATAAACAAGAAGTTGACATCGGATTCGTACAAAAATGAATCCCACCATATGACATGCCTAAACAGTGTGCTAAACTTTCAAGCATCTGCCATGAGTAATTGCTCAGAAAACTGCAACCAAAATTTGTTATGTATGGTTCGGACAGATGCACGGATAAACAGGAAGTTGACATCGGATTCGCACAAAAATGAATCCCACCATATGACATGCCTAAACAAAAAGTGTGCTAAAATTTCAAGCATCTGCAATGAGTAATTGCTGAGAAAACTGCAACTAAAATTTGTTATGGACAGACACACAGACAGCTAGACAGACAAACAGACACACAAGGGTAAACAGTATACCCACCTCTCCTTCGGAGTGGGGGTATAAAAAAGAGAAATTCAGCAATGAAATATCAGCAAAATACTTTGGTAATCCACAACTCTAACAGAGCAGATTTGTTTACTTGCCTTTATATGCCAGTGTGACATGTAACTATACACTACCATTAGTGCCAACTTCTCGATGCATGAAAGTACAGGGCACAAAACCAGCTAAAATCAACCTAGTGGCTTGGCTCAATCTTTAAATTACTCTCATAGTACAAGATACATGAGGTATGTTGTCTTATGTTTGTTAATTATCATAGATGAATAATCAAAGGGGACTGTTAACTTCTCTTTAAGTAAAGTAAAAATTCTCCTACACGATCAGTAGACCACTGCCCTAGCAACAAAACTCCTATTCAGTAGTCATGAAATTCCTGAATTTTACAAATCTGTTTAAAACACCCTTTCTAATGAAAACTATGCACTTGATTAACAGTTACATGTAGATGCCCAAGAGCAGAGAATAAGATTTTCACACAATTAATGCACATTAGAGCCCTGCTCTAATGCTCTAACACCAGAACCCTTGACTCTTGGACCATGAATTTCACAATTTTGGTAGAGGCAACCTTGCTCATTGTAACTATGCACCAATTTTGTCTGCCAAATACCTAAAAGCAGAGAAAAAAATTTCAGAGATTTAAAGCACTCTTACTATATGATCAATATGATCAATCACTGCCCTAACCCAAGAGCTGCTTACTAAGGGACTATGAATTTAAAAATTTTGGAAGAAGTACCCTTATTCATCATAACCATGCACCTAGTCTGTCTGCTAAATATACAGGGGGAGAGAAGAAGATAGAATTACTGCATTTTACACTACATGATAAATGATCACCATAACACCCAAAACAGAGACCATAACATTCAGAATTTCAGTTTCCCTTTGCCCATAGATGTTATATACCAGAAGTGGTTGAAATTGGCCGAGCCATTCCAGAGAAAAAGCTGAAAACGTTTCAAATGTTAATGGTCAACCATGATGGATGTCGAATATGACAACAGATGAAAAAGGATAGCAATAGGTCATCTGAGTAAATCAAGTTACCTAAAAGGGTTCCAGGTATATCATGGCACTATGAGATCTTTTGGAATCTCTAGATCCAGTCACACAACAATTACCTTTTATACATGTGCATGTTATTTCTTTATACATATATAATGTTTTATAATGCCAGGGTTTTTTATGATATCTAATTTTTAAACATGTTAGTATGAATCAGGATCTTAAGTTTCCTGTGCATCTTTAACTACCTGTATACCATTGTTTATTCTTCCAGAACTCAAGGAGCACACAATCTTTGTTGCCTTAGTTGTTAATTGCCGAGTAGTTAACAATTTATCTGTATCTTACCATATTTGTATGATCCATCAGGTCTCGAATTAATGGTTTTAACTTCTCTGCTATAACCACTAGCTTCTTATTACATGGGGCTGGACCATTGGGTAACACCATGACCTTTGTACCTGCCATCAAAAACAAAGCAGTGCCTAATGTTCCCTTAATTAACAGTAAAGTCCTATACATGTACCTCAAATGTAGCTATATTGGTTATTCATAATATTTATATTTCAAACTCAGTGTATTTCTCATGCATGTGACTGACTAAGATCCACATTCACATTTAAAAACAAGAGGCCCAGGGGCCACATCGCTCACCTGAGCACTATGGCTAGGTAAAGCAGAAATCAGTTCAGTCTTGAAAGGTTGAAAAGTTTAAATATAAAAGTGGTTGGGTGGGGGGTGGGGGGGGGGGGGGGAGGGGGTTATGAATTGAACAAATTTGAATCTACATTATCTGAGGATGCTTCCATTTAAATATGACCAATCATGGCTTTGCTGTTCTTGAGAAGAAGAATTTTTCAAGATTTTTCCTATATATTCCTATCTAAAACTTTGATCGCCCATTGTGGCCCCACCTGACCCCCGGGGGTAATGATTTGAAGAAACTTGAATCTACACTACCTGAGGATGCTACCATGTAAATATGACCAATCATGGCTTTGCTGTTCTTGAGAAGAAGATTTTTAATGATTTTTCCTATATATTCCTATCTAAAACTTTGATCGCCCATTGTGGCCCCAATCGACCCCCGGGGGTCATGAATTGAACAAACTTGAATCTACACTATCTGAGGATGCTTCCATGTAAATATGACCAATCATGGCTTTGCTGTTCTTGAGAAGAAGATTTTTAAAGATTTTTCCTATATATTCCTATGTAAAACTTTGATCACCCATTGTGGCCCCACCCGACCCCCGGAGGTCATGATTTGAACAAACTTGAATCTACACTATCTGAGGATGCTACCATATAAATATGACCAATCATGGCTTTGCTGTTCTTGAGAAGAAGATTTTTAAAGATTTTTCCTATATATTCCTATGTAAAACTTTGATCACCCATTGTGGCCCCACCCGACCCCCGGGGGTCATGATTTGAACAAACTTGAATCTACACTATCTGAGGATGCTACCATATAAATATGACCAATCATGGCTTTGCTGTTCTTGAGAAGAAGATTTTCAAAGATTTTTCCTATATATTCCTATATAAAACTTTGATCGCCTGTTGTGGCCCCACCCGACCCCCGGGGGTCATGATTTGAACAAACTTGAATCTACACTACCTGAGGATGCTTCCACATAAGTTTCATATTTTCAAGCAGTGGTTCTTGAGAAGAAGATTTTTTAATGATGCCATTAATTTTTCACGAATTCTTAATTATCTCCCCTTGGAAGAAGGCGTGGCCCTTCATTTGAACAAACTTGAATCCCCTTTACCCAAGGATACTTTGTGGCAAGTTTGGTTGAAATTGGCCCAGTGGTTCTTGAGAAGAAGTCGAAAATGTGAAAAGTTTACAGACGGACAGACGGACTACAGACAAAATGTGATCAGAAAAGCTCACTTGAGCCTTCGGCTCAGGTGAGCTAAAAAATCAGATGAACCATCATGTCTGCAGGTCAAAATTTGGATATACACTGTATAACATCTATGTAAAGCATGTTTAAATGGTATTGTTAAACCCTATATGTAGCTCTCTACATGAGCAGATCAAAGAATCTAATTTTATGACACTTTAACTTTAATGCTGCATGCAGAGTGTACATCTCTTTAACACAGGAATTTTGTTTTACCCAAAAGTGAACTTAGTACATAAATCTTTCTTCCATTTGCTTCCAATGCAAAACTTGGGTAACAAAACCGATTTCCAGCATGCCATAATATTTAAATTCACTTTTCATTCAATGCCTACCTAAATATCAGTACTTAAACGAATTTTGATTTTAAAGAAATATTTCATTCAAATTTTAACTTAAGTTATATTGGCAACAAAACAGTGACTTGACTACTTTATCAGTGATTGCTACAGACCTGTTTTACATTACGAAAAATGCATTTAAGAATTAAATATTTCAGCTTACCAGAGACATCATTATGGTCGTCATTTTCAAATTTCCTTTTTTTGCCTGCAGGCTGAGATAAAAAATTCAAAAATGTTAATCCAGATCACTTAATACATGACTCATACTAGAAATCTAGAACTACTTAAAATCAAAATTAACTTCATCAACTTTAAAATTTTAACATGCAGTCAAATTCCAATACTGATCTCATTTCACTCACATGTACTTCACCTAGAATGGCCAAAAAAAGCAGGGCTAGAAATAATGATTTTTTTTTTCACTGGTCACTTGGGCTATCCTAAATTTTTACTGGTCAACTCAGTGCTTTCACTGTCCCACTGAACCAGTTGATTTAAAAGGACTGGCCCAAATGCATAATTATAATACATGTAGTAATATTTTGTTTATATTGTGATACTTCTTAAAAGTACAACATAACAGAACAAAAAAGACAGAACTTGGACACATAACCCTATCAAGTTAACTAGCCCGACCATGAATAAATTTTGTTATATATGAAAAAACAGACCCAATGGGCACGTCCTCTATAATTTACTAGCCCAGATTCAAAATTCACTGGCCCCAGACCAGCGGGCCATCAATTATTTCGAGCCCTGAAATGAGGGGGATACTTGTTTCCTAGAACAGTGGAAATTACTCGAAATTCCCCAAAATTACTGGTAATTCTTAGGAATTAATGGGAAATAATATTCACCTATGGTTCATCATTTTTGTCATATCTTTTGGGATATTGACATAAAGTGCACCTTATAAGCTAATTAAATATTTAATCATTGTCTTTAGTTTAAAAATTTCTGGCTGCCAAGTATGTCATGTCTTTACAATTCTAGATTTTTGAAAACCAGTTTTTTAAATTTTCTAACTGTAAATTACCATATTTTCCCTACAGTTTATTTTCAGGAGAAAGTAATATTGCATTTATAAGGGAGACAAAATTTTCACACAAATTCTGGTTTTTGTTCAATATCTTTAATAATACAATCATAATAATACAATCATACAAGAGAATGAAATTTTTGCAAGCAGAGTTGCCTCTCTAAATGATGCGAAAATAAAGTTCTCATGAATAAAGAGTGATTTACAGTGTTAATCTTTTATCAATGATCAACATGACCAATTATTATGTTCAATAAAAAAATTCTTTAAATTGTAGATCACCGTACCTCATCTCCTGAAACATTGTTTGTATATAGGATTGGATCTGGGCAAGGAATATTAAGGTCCACATGTATATCTGCTAGGCGAGACTTTGTCATGCTCTAAATTAAAGATATAAAACTAAAAAAAATTTCAAATAGCCAAAAGGATGTACATGCTAAATGACATTAGTAAGTACAGGTATGAATACTTATATGATATATAGAACATTTAATGCATTAAAATATGCTAGTACAAGCAAAATTTGGGTGAATTTAAAAGTTCTTGTATATAATCTACAAAAATAATAATACTGAGAAACATAAGACCATGGACACCACAACCATTTTTAATCTTAAGTCCCTCCTGGTAGCAGTAGCACCATACTTATGTTTTTATAAAATGCATTTTGCAGGCATCAAAAGAAACAGAGACCCAACATTTTACCAAGCACCTGAGATGTGGCAGTACTGTAAAAAGTATAAAGTGTTTATACCTAGAGTGCTGAAAGTTCAAGAGATGTAATTCACACAAAAGTGATTTAATGTTTGTTAGAAATGTATATACTTTTTCAAACTATGCAAAGAAATTTAACATAAAAAAAAATACAAAAACCATCTTATAGGATGTATCATAATGGCCAACACATCTGAAATCAACAAATTAATCACATATTTCTAGTAAAAAGTGTCACTATAAAGGTGCTAACAAAGAGTTTCTGGAGTTTGAAATACACTTATGAATTAAATAAATATTAAAATATTGCCCAAAGATAGCTGTTTAAAACATCAACCAGAGATATTGTGAGCAAGTTCACAAAATTATAACACCCACTGCTTTTTCCTTCAAGCCCAAGAACACTTTTGTAAGGGAGACTTTGAAATTGTCAAAATGACCTTGGCTCAAGATAATGACACCCTCTGGTCAAAACTAACTTTTGATTGAGGTATGAAATTCCAATGTTTCTATATTAAAAAGTTATGGACCTAGCATTAATTAAAAAAATTATTGACCCTGAACTTGCCAAAATGACCTTTAGTCAAGGTTATGACATACTTCAGTTCCAAGTAATTTTCATTTTGAGGCATCAACTTCCAATAATTATCCATTAAAGTATTATTAACTAGACACAAATTTTACAATTTTTCTGCATGTGACCATGGTCTAGCTTAAGTTACCTTTAGCAGTCAAGGGCATCATGGAAACAAGTTACTTTTAAAATAATTTGTTTAAGTTATTAAATATCATTATTTTGGGTTATCTTTCCCTGATTATGCTTTTCTTCAGTAACTTATTCCCATTATTGATATTTTACTATTCATTATTTTAAACCTACTGGTATCTGAAAAGCTTTATTCATGCTGTACTTGGGTTATTAAGTAGATGGAAAAGGTTCATGACAGTAAAATTAATCCATCTTTAAGATTTAACAAGTTGAAATTCAACAAATCATAACTTATTTCAGTTATTTAAACCTTAACCAACATCACTTTAGAACTCATGCACAAAAATCTACAGTTTTGCACAAAAAATGTAAGACATAGATATTGTACATTAATATCCAAGGATTTTAGGAAAATTAGTCTCACTGTTGGCAAAATTGGCGGAAGTTGTGTAATTGACACTGAAATGTTCATGAAATAGAATTATTTTTCCCTGAAAAATATCATCATATTTTGATAAACATCACCCTGTATGCTCAGGAGATATGAAGTCTGTTGAGTCTATTAAAAGAAGTACATATATTTACAACTTTCTCAGCCTTACATCATTTTAAATCAGCAGCAATCTCAAAATATTGATGTTTTTTGGCAAAATTGATAGGCATTCTACGTTTGAAGAATTAACTCAAATTAGTTATTTCTTTGTTTAGTAATAAATAAGTGAAGTATCCTAAAAAAGTTATTTTAAAAAATAACTTGATTCCATCATGCCCCTGACTGTTTAGTGAAGGTTATGTTACAACTTCAGGACAGAACTAAGATTTGTGTGAAGTGTGAACTTCCAAAGTATCAACATGAAAAGTTATGGACCTGATACCAGTTTTACACTTTTTCAGCCAGTGACCTTGAACTTGCCAAAATAACCTTAGGTCAAGATCATGACATTGACACACCCTTAGGTCATTAGCAATCTTTGTGTCAAAAATCAACTTCCACAGAGTTGACAACCAGACATGAGTTATATATATACTCTTTCTACCAGTGTCCTTGAACTTGCTCAAATGACTGAGTCTAGGTCATGACACACCCTCAGGTTATAAACAATTTTGTTTTAAGTATGAACTACTATGAATTATGGTCAGGACAGCTGGTATTTTCCTTTTTTCTAAAAGTAGGTCTAGTAATATGATCTCTAGATGGCTTTTGAGCATAAGTTTGATACCATGATATAAATTCAATTCAGAAAATTGTGGATCCCCACTTTTGGATCCTATTAGTTGAAGATTCAAAGATCTACAGTATGTTGTAACAATTTGTCTGTCTCATCTTTATCAGTCCATCATGCTAAAATAAAGTGCATCACAACAGGATGATAAGCCCATCAGATATGTTATAGTTACACTATAGATATTAATTGGTTAGCGGTAAATACACTCACAGTTTTTCATTCACGAGGGGCGGAGCCTCGAGTGAATAAAAACTGTGAGTGTATTTACGGCTAACCAATTAATATCTATTGTGTAAGTTACTTGTACCAGAGGACCAATGAGAGAAAAGCAAATTGATAATTAGCGCCGCCTACTACATGGTGTCAAGCCACGGTCCGGAGTCTGTAGTATAAATAGCCCTCTCCATCTGCAAGGATCATATTTTGCGCTGGTGCTGCAAATCACTGATAAAATATTCGGAATGGGTGCATGTGATGATGTTGTACTCTTGAAATGTTGAAGACACAGAAGACATGATTTTTTGGTCAGGTACAGGGGTAAGGATTGTAAAGTACATGTATTATACTGACGCCGTCAACTCTGAAAGAAAATTCATCTTTCGAGATCGTTATTTTTAAAGGGGGGGGGGGGTGTCAATGGAAAACATCGCCGTTGAAATTTTTATATATATATATGGCAAGCGACGTATGAACAGGGACATATATACTTTCTAGTATATGGGTCCCTGATAGACACTATAGAATGATTTTTGACATTTTAATGAAAGTTTGAAATGCTTTATGAAGTAAAAAAAACCGCAGCAACTTCTGATATTAAATTGCTACATGTACTTGGAGAAAGGAAATAGAAAGACAAGAATTCGAGATAAAACGTATCATTTACTGAATAAGGAAATGCATCGAAAAAATACGGGAAAAATTACAAGGCGAATTTTGGCAACTTAATGTTAGTATTTTTTAAATTAAAAATGTTGACTTTATTCATTCATCAGCCATTGCCAAGGTCTGGAAATTAACATCATTCATTCATCAGTCAAGGTTTTGTCACAGTATGGCTTGATGCCAAAAAGTGGGCGTGACTTAAAAAACTGTGATTCTTCTGGCAAATACACCACAGCAACATCAAAACAAAATCTAAATTTACCGCCAGTCCTATGGTACAATGTGTAAAACTGTATACATATATATTAATCACAAACAGAAGAAAGTCATGTCAACTCTGATACAAAGATTTTACTTCCTATGCTGTAAATTAATTTTAAAAAATGGACTGGTACATCATAAGTTTCTCAACTTGGTCATGACACAAATGCCCAATCTGCAGCTTTGTTCATTGTATTGTTTATGAAAGTTGAAGAATGCCACTGCCTAATGAAAACATCAAAATACTAATCATCATATTTCTCAATATGATAATACTGTCAAAACTTCTGCATCCATCTAGGCCAAAAATTTTCAAGTTACATGTATATGCCAGACAGGGTTTTGCCATATTTGGCCATATATCATCTAAATTAAAAGTCATAGTGACCTTAATATAGACTGTGACACATGGTTATGCAGTATCTGTCCAAGTTTGATGATTCTAGGCCAAATATCTAGTCTAGTTATGAGCTGGACAGAGTTTTGCAATGTTTGGTCATATCTTCGTAATTAAAGGCCACAGTTACATAACTTTTAAGTGTGGCACACCCTCTATCCAAATGCATCAGCTGACAAAGTTTGATGATTCTAGGCCTCACAGTATTAAAGTTATGAGCCGGACATTAAAAAACTAACAGACAGACATGATGGCCAGAACATGTCCTGTCCTAGACAAGCATATAAAAAGTATTATATTTTTTTAATTAAAGCTATATATGGCATATCTGAGCTAAAAAATAAGAAAAATACGAGATTGTGTGTAAATAAACGATATATGTTATTTAACCTCATGTTTCCATAGTTAAATTGATTTTAAACTGTGTCTGTTTATTATATGCGGACTCGGTAAATAAATCGGTTATTGTTTGAAATTTCTAATATCTTTGAAATGTGACTGATTTAAATTGTGTAATTTACAAGAAAGCCCTATCTTTATATAAATTAATAAGACAAATAGAAAGATCTTTTTAATTTTAGTTAGTCTGAATACGCCATATTTGACTTTAATATGTTCTGGTACAGAAGTTATAATGGCCAAGATTTTTAGAAGTCAAAATGTTTCTCTGCTAAGGGACTAGCTAATAGTTAATAAACCTGCAACAGATCAACAGAAAAGCTCTGGCTGGCTGTAAAAAAAAAGAATAAAAAATAAAACAAGAGGCCCATGGACCACATTGCTCACCTGAGCACATTGTCTAGGAAAAAAGCAAAACTCAGTTCAGTATTGAAAAGTTTACAGGGGGGGGGGGGGGGGGTTGAATTTTAAACTACCTGATGATGCTTTCATATCAATATAACAAAGGGCTTTGCTGTTCTTGAGCTGAAGATTTTTTCCCATATACTCATTTGTAAAAATTTGATCCCCCATTGTGGCCCCACCCTACCATCCGGGGCCCTCATTTGAACAAATTTGATTCTACACTACCAGAGGATGCCTCCATATCAATATGACTAATCATGGGTTTTCTATCCTTGAGAAAAAGATTTCTTCCTATATATTCATATGTAAAACTTTGATCACCCATTGTGGCCCCACCCTATCCCCCGGGGTCATGACTTGAACAAACTTCAATCTACACTACCTGAG